AGTCCATGGGGTTGCAAAGATTTGGACATGACTTAGTGACTAAACGATAACAACAGCTCCATCCACTGTCCTTTAGCCAGAAAGAGGTTTCTCTTGGAGATTTTTCTATTTAAACTTGCTGTGAAGTCCTTTGATTCAGGCTGTCTTAGAGTTTAAATAAGGAGATACAACAAAGGAAAAGAAAACTCTAGGAAACTCATGACCACATTAATCATTCTTCAAATTTTGCTTTCCATGCTCATTTAATATGCTATTAATGTTTCAGTGTTTAGATAATTGCTTTATGATTTCTTTCCAGAGTTTTTAGTTGTAACTCATGGAAGAAACAATGGACTTTTCCCATGTCAGTCCAAACTGGAAACTTCCCCTAATTTTTGAAAGCATTTATTATCCTTTAGTTGGTGGCAAATTTTACTTGAAATAGTTCTATTTGTTGTGTCCTTCAGGTGTGTTATGAATTAAATAGAAATTCAAGTTGTCTGGGTAAATTTTTTCCGTGTTAGCATTATTTCTATGGGAAAATAATATTCTAAGTTCTAAATAACCATTATATAAAAGGTGACATTGGGGCACAGCTAACTCCTATCATGTCTTTCAGCTGACAAAGGGGCTTGGATCCTGAAGTAGAAATTCACTTTGTCCTTAAAGTTTCCTTGACTTCTGTGTTCTGCACCCTGTTGTTGGTCAGTCCTGGTTTGGGCGTGTCTTGGCGTATGCCTGCTTCTTTGATTCAGAGTCTGTGTCATACTATCTTGGCTTCAAGGCATTTTTGCTTGATCTGTCCCTTTGCTTCTGTCCTCTGGGTCTTGATCTTATGTTATCATAGTCTGTTCATATCCTTCATGCTAATAATTGGAGAGTATTACCTCGACTGAATATTTGTGTCCTCCCCCCACCAAAAAAAATTGTATAATGGAGCATAATCCCATTGTGTTAATATTAGGATATGGAGTCTTTGGCAGGTAATTAGGTCATGAGGGTTGAACCCTCAAGAATGGGATTAGTGCCCTGATGAGAAGAGATTCCCTGTGGGTCAGATGGTAAAGAATGCCTGCAATGCCCGAGACCTGGCTTTGATCCCTGGGTTGGAAAGATCGCCTGGAGACGGGAATGACTACCCACTCCAGTATTCTTGCCTGGAGAATTCCATGGACAGAGGAGCCTGGAGGGATACAGTCCATGGGGTTGCAAAGAGCCAGACATGACTGAGCAACTAATCCAACAGTCAAAAGAAGAGAATCTCTCTCTGCCCTGCAGGGACTCAGCAGGAAGATGGCCTCCTGCAGATGAGAAAGAGGCTCTCACCAGAAACTGGCAATATTGGCACCCTGATCTCAAGCTCTCCAGGCTCCAGAGCTGTGAGAAATAGATTTCTATTGCTTAACCCACCCAATCCATGGTATTTTTTTTTTAAATCATAGACTGAACTGAGACACTGACACTACTATGAATTTTTTTCTTGCTTCATTGATTGAGAAGCTTTTGTATTCTGTTCTAATCATTGCTTTAGGAGTTGGGGGTACCAAAATTAATGGCACAGAGGCCCTGACTTTAGGAAGCTCATTCTTTGGTAGAAGACTATGAAAGACCATACTGTAAGGACAAAAGAGAAGCTAGGGGAATTTAGAGAAAGGCTGGATTATTTCTTGATTGGGGGTTCAGAGATGACTTCATAAAGGAAGTAGCACTTGGCCTGATCTGAGAGAAGAAACAGGTTGTAAGCATGCACAGAAAGGAGGACAACCATTTGGAGGAACCTGTAAGGGGGAAAGTCAAGGAACAGGAAAAGCATGAGTTGGGAACAGTGGGTTCTGTTCATTGGCTGGCAATTAGGGATTCAGGAGTAGTATTTTCTCTCCCATCAGGCACAGCCATGCCATGGTGTAGCCATGATCCTGTTATTCAGGAAACCTCTTTATATCCTCCTGTCTCTTTCTCAGCACCTGGCCTCCCCGAAGGCATGGTTATTGTGAAAATTAAAACAGCAACACATAGTGGAAGATGCCAAGTAAACCTGGGGCTCCTTATTCTTTAAGGGATCTCTGCCCAGTTTCCACAGACAGGTGCAGCCATCCCCTTAAAGGCATGGCTGTGCTAGCTCAGGATGATTCTGCTCCCAGGAAGCCCAGGGTGAATCTTCTGCTTCCCAGATGGAGCAAATTCTCCCTTATGTTGACTCTAGATGGATCTCTAGTGAGACCTGAGAACTGGAGGTCTCACCACCCAGCTCTGAAGGCATGACCAGAAGGAGGGTTTCTAAAGTATTTTAAGTAACCAGAAGGGTTTTTGGAATAAGCAAATTGACTCCCAAGATGACAGTACTCATTTGCATATAAATTTTCCAGTCTATTTTTATTTTAAAGCCTCCTTACATCATAGTCGTCTAGCATATGGCTCAGAACAGCCTGTCATCCTTTTTTTTAAAGTCAGCTTAAGGAGGCTAATTGTCTCAGTGCCTCTTACAACCTGTTATTTATTTGAGAGTGCATTTACAATAATGCATTAAATGGTAGCCTAGTGACCTGAAAGAGTTAATGTGCCTCCCCTTTTGCTGAACTCCTTCTACCTCAGAGTCACTTAGGCACTTAGGGGATTTTATTCAGTGGATATAAAATAATCTTGTCTGACCCAGGTGCAGCAAGTACAGGCTTTTAAAACATATTAAGACAGGGCTGTCTCCTGACCTGTGACAAATATTAGAGAGTAAAAGAATAACTTTTTTATCGCAGCTGTACCTGCTATCGTAGAATGTTTCAAGTCAAATCAGAATTGAGGCTGGAAGCTAACAAGCCAAATATCAGCAGATGATTAGGGTCAAAGCAGGTTTAAGTTCAACACACACAATAAACTTAAAAAGTGGAAGCCAAATCAGGTCACTTGCCTGTTTAAAAAAAAGCCTTCAGTGGCTTCAGGATAAATCTTTAGTTCTTCAGCATGATGTAAAGTCATGAAGTGGTCCCAGACTGACTTCTTAGGTTTATTCCCTGTGCAAATGCCCATGTTAGTACGCTAGGGTTTCCATCACAAAATCCCACAGACTGGGGGGCTGCCGCAACAGAAACTTACTTTCTCACAGTTTTGAAGGCCAGAAGTACAAGAATGAGGTGTCCAGCTGTGATGGTTTCTTCTGAGGCCTCTCTTCTTGGCTTGTAGTTGGAGATGTGTTCCCTCTGTGTCCAAATTCCTTTTATTATAAAGAAACCTGTCATATCAAAATAGGGCCATTACCAATGACTGCATTTCAACCTAATTACCTCTTTAAAGGTGCTGTCTCTAAATACAGTCACATTCTGAGGTACCAGGGGTGAAAATGTCAGTATATAAACTTTCAGTTCAGTTCAATTCAGTTGCTCAGTCGTGTCCAACTCTTTGCTACCCCATGAATCACAGCACGCCAGGCCTCACTGTCTATCACCAACTCCCGGAGTTTACTCAGACCCATGCCCATCGAGTCGGTGATGCCAGCCAGCCATCTCATCCTCTGTCGTCCCCTTCTCCTCCTGCCCCCAATCCCTCCCAGCATCAGGGTCTTTTCAAATGAGTCAACTCTTCGCATGAGGTGGCCAAAGTACTGGAGTTTCAGCTTCAGCACCAGACCTTCCAATGAACACCCAGGGCTGATCTCCTTTAGGATGGACTGGTTAGATCTCCTTGCAGTCCAAGGGACTCTCAAGAGTCTTCTCCAACATCATAGTTCAAAATCATCAATTTTTCGGTGCTCAGCTTTCTTCACAGTCCAACTCTCACATCCATGCATGACTACTGGAAAAACCATAGCCTTGACCAGACGGACCTTTGTTGGCAAAGTAATGTCTCTGCTTTTTAATATGCTGTCTAGGTTGGTCATAACTTTCCTTCCAAGGAGTAAGGCTCTTTTAATTTCATGGCTGCACTCACCATCTGCAGTGATTTTGGAGCCCCCAAAAATAAAGTCTGACACTGTTTCCACTGTCTCCCCATCTATTTGCCATGAAATGATGGGACCAGATGCCATGATCTTAGTTTTCTGAATGTTGAGCTTTAAGCCAATGTTTTCACTCTCATCTTTTACTTTTGTTAAGAGGCTTTTTAGTTCTTCTTCACTTTCTACCATAAGGGTGGTGTCATCTGCATATCTGAGATTATTGATATTTCTCCTGGCAGTCTTGATTCCAGCTTGTTCTTCCTCCAGCCCAGCGTTTCTCATGATGTACTCTGCATGGACGTTAAATAAGCAGGGTGACAATATACAGCCTTGACATACTCCTTTTCCTATTTGGATGCAATTTGACCCATAACAACACTCATGCTCCGGCCTTGCTAATCTACTCTCAACTCTTCATCTAGGCCTTTCTTGCTTTCCCTTCTTGACTTTTCACATGTGCGTCTTTTCCATCCTTCCTTGCCTGACTAGCATCTCTTGACTCAAGTATCGGTTTTCCCACTGCTATGCTGTCATCCAGAGGGCCAGCACTGTGTCCTGCTCACTCCTGCACTGACTGAAATTTTGTTCAGAAAATGTCAAACTGAATTGACAATTTTAGGGACTTGAAGAAAGAAAATGAAGCAGAGACTGTTGATGCTTCCTCTGCTTTCCTTCTCTTTCCACATCTTTCCTTTTCAGTGATACTTGCCAATCTTGGTCCTGCCCAGGCCAGTTTTTTGGGCCTGAGTCTGGCTTGGGTTGAAAATGGGTGATCAATAGATGAGGAAGGATGCCATGAGGAGGCAAGGGTCCATGTGACTGTGAGAGCTAACATGCCCAATATGGTGCCCACTATCCATATAGGGCTACTCCAATTTCAATAATTTCAAGTTAAATACAATTAAAAATTCATTTTCTCAACTGTGCTAGTTATTTTTCATGTACTCAGTAGCCACATGTGACTAGCGGCTACTTTATTGGATAACACAGATACAGTTCATTCCCATCAGAAAGTTCCATTGGACAGCTCTGTGAGGACCCAAAGGGCCAGGATGGTCTGTTCACTTCTCTGCTTCACCTTAACCCTTTAATTTAGGCCTATGACAATCTCAGGTACACTGAACTGACCAAATTTTTGGTCTTTTCTGAAGCAAATAAAACCTTGACCCTAGAATTTACCTGTCTTACTTGAGTATGATTCATGCTTTATCCTTATATTCTAGTGCCACTTGGCAACAGAATATGTTCTTTCAATACAATTCTGTTTGTATCTATATCCAAGACTACAGATGTATTTATGGAAAACAGGTGAAGGTTGTTCTAGGGCTCCAAGAGTCCTTTGATGTCTGAGTCTGAGGTAAAATATGGTCACCAAGTATTATTTCTTTTTTTTTAAAAATCTTATTAAGATTTGCTCTTAAGGAAAAACAATGTATTAGTCATTTCTTTTTTTTTTTTCATCATTTCTTTCTTAACATGGACATATGATGTTACCTTGCCCTATGGGATAGGGTGGAATTACACAGTAAGTCTAGATGAAGAAATTTGCTTCTACCCCTACCAGCCGTGTGAACCTGGGAAGGTATTCAGTTCTTTTGGAGTTTCCATCTCCTGTGCTGTAAAATGAAGACAATGACTGTCTACCTCATGTTGTTATAAGGATTGATGTGGGAGGGTATACAATACCTGCCATAGAACACATACTAAATATTAGCTTTCTTTCCTATTTTTTTCTCCATCAAGGAAATTTAATTATTGGCAGTTCATGAGAAAAAGCTTTTTTGGGCTGTGGGGTGCATTGTGAGAGAGATAAGCCCTTTCAGAGGGCTCCCTAAAAATATCCCCAGGGCCAGACCTCTATTTTTCCTGTAGATTGGGTAAGCCTGGGAGGAGGCCCAAAAGGTGAAGCATTGTTTGACCTCTCAGATTTCCCCTTCCACAGGTGGCATGGTTCTGATGTAATTCCTCTTGCAACATCCCAAGGCTCTTTATCACGGAAAGAAGCCTCATACTGTGAACAAAAGGTGACTTCTGGAAGTTTAGAAGAAAGGCTCATTGTGGCCGTCCATTATTTTTGGTAGCCAAATTGAAAACAAGAGGTGGATTCGGTCTACCTACAGATTGCATTCACTGTGGCAATATGCACCTTTGCCTCTGGGAGAAATCTATCAACTCTTCATCCCTGTTTCCGTGTCAGCAAGCCACCTACACTGTGGGGACTTGGGATAAGAGGATGAGGTAATGACTGCGTGCATGCTAAGTCACTTCAGTTGGGTCTGACTCTTTTTGACCCAGTGGACTATAGCCTGCCAGATTCCTCTGTCCATGGGATTCTCCAGGCAAGGTTGCCCTGCCCTCCTCCAGGGAATCTTCCCGACTTGGGATCGAACCTGCATCTTTTATGTCTCTTGCATTGACAGACTGGTTCTTTAACACTAGCGCCAGCTGGAAAGCCTGTTGATGAGTGACTACCAGTGTCTAATGAAGAACTTGTATTAGAAACAAGCATACTTTTTCAATTATGGTTTTAATTGATTCTTATAAATATTGATAGCCAGACAACAACTCTACAAGGAGGATAGATTGAATGTGGACTTCTGATTCTAGGATAAAGAAGCTGATTTCAGGATGTTAGCACTTAAAGGAAATCTTTTAAGGTGGTGAGTATTCCACTTGTACAGTCAGTTCAGTCGCTCAGTCATGTCTGACTCTTTGCAACCCCATGAACTGCAGCACGCCAGGCCTACTTGTCCATCACCAACTCCTGGAATCTACCCAAACTCATGTCCATTGAGTTGGTGATGCCATCCAACCATCTCATCCTCTGTCATCCCCTTCTCCTCCTACCCTCAATCTTTCCCAGCATCAGGGTCTTTTCCAATGAGTCGACTCTTTGCATCAGGTGGCCAGAGTATTGGGAGTTTCCGCTTCAACATCAGTCCTTCCAATGAACACCCAGGACTGATCTCCTCTAGGGTGGACTGGTTGGATCTCCTTGCAGTTCAAGGAACTCTCAAGAGTCTTCTCTAACACCACAGTTCAAAAGCATCAATACATGACCACTGGAAAAACCATAGCCTTGACTAGATGGACTTTTGTTGACAAAGTAATGTCTCTGCTTTTTAATATGCTGTCTAGGATGGTCATAACTTTCCTTCCAAGGAGTAAGGCTCTTTTAATTTCATGGCTGCACTCACCATCTGCAGTGATTTTGGAGCCCAAAAAAATAAAGTCAGCCACTGTTTCCCTGTTTCCCCATCTATTTGCCATGAAGTGATGGGACCGGATGCCATGATCTTAGTTTTCTGAATGTTGAGCTCTAAGCCAACTTTTTCACTCTCCTCTTTCACTTTCATCAAGAGGCTCTTTAGTACTTCTTTACTTTCTGCCATAAGGGTGGTGTCATCTGTATATCTGAGGTTATTGATATTTTTCCCGGCAATCTTGATTCTGGCTTGTGCTTCTTCCAGCCCAGCGCTTCTCATGATGTACTCTGCATATAAGTTAAATAAGCAGGGTGACAATATACAGCCTTGATGTACTCCTTTTCCTACTTGGAACCAGTCTGACAGAATGTGGCCCACTGGAGAAAGGAATGGCAAACCACTTCAGTATTCTTGCCTTGAGAACCCCATGAACAGTATGAAAAGGCAGAAAGATAGGATACTGAAAGATGAACTCCCCAAGTCAGTAGGTGCCCAATATGCTACTGGAGATCAGTGGAGAAATAACTCCAGAAAGAATGAAGGGATGGAGCCAAAGCATAAACAACACCCAGTTGTGGATGGGGCTGCTGATAGAAGCAAGGTTCGATGCTGTAAAGAACAATATTGCATAGGAATCTGGAATGTTAGGTCCATGAATCAAGACAAATTGGAAGTGGTCAAACAGGAGATGACAAGAGTGAACATCGACATTCTAGGAGTCAGCGAACTAAGATGGACTGGAATGGGTGAATTTAACTAAGATGACCATTATATCTACTACTGTGGGCAGGAATCCCTTAGAAGAAATGGAGTAGCCATCATAGTCAACAAAAGAGTCCAAAATTCAGTACTTGAATGCAATCTCAAAAATGACAGAATGGCCTCCCTTCATTTCCAAGGCAAACCATTCAATATCATGGTAATCCAATTTTATGCCCCGACCAGTAACGGTGAAGAAGCTGAAGTTGAATGGTTCTATGACAACCTACAAGACCTTATAGAACTAACACCCCAAAATGATGTCCTTTTCATTATAGGGAACTGGAATGCAAAAGTAGGAAGTCAAGAAACACTACTTGTACAAGAAAGAAAAAAAAATTTTTTTTTTTTTGAGAGGATCGCCTTTTTTTTTGATGTCCATCACTGACAACAAGAAGAATGTGGTAGCCAGGGGTTACAGAGCTAAGACAAATAATGCTGAAAGCAGAAGTTCTTCATATACTGACACAAAAATCTTCAACTTTCTCCTTAAATTGAACTAAATGTAACTGAGCCTACCAGATAAATTAATTTGTGTTTTTCCATGATGCTTTTTAAATTTGAAAACATATATGAAAGTGTTATTTTTTTTTAAAGATGTAATTTATTGACTTCTCTCCATGGTGTACTAGATATACATATTACCAACTTAGAATTCATGGAAAATTAGCTTATTCACTATACTTAAGATGAAATAATGAAATAAATACTTCAAAACATATTTCAGTTTGAAACTATTACACCTGGAAAAGATTTATATGACACTGTCTTATTTTTCTTACTGTGTTGTAGTTTATTACATAATTCAAAACATTTTAGAGCTGTCAGACACTGTAGTAGCCATGATGAGTGAGGTGGAATTAATTCCTGAAGAGTTGACTGAGTAAATAGGGTGATATGATGGTATTTTTATGAACTGCACAGTATTTAGCATTTCTTTTGTTCAGTGAGAGAAATGGTCCTTCTTTCCATCCCTCTTCTTCCTTGTCTTCCTCTTTCCCTCCTTACCCTCCTTCATTCATTTGTTTCTTTTTGCTTTTGGACCAAGGAACCTCAAATTTACCCCTGCTATGTAATATTAAATCCTATTAAAGATTAAACAGAATTTTTTGAATACCTCCTCTCTTCTAGTCATGGTTCTAGGCACTGGGAATACAGTGGGTGAAAAAGGTATACGACCCTCTGTCCCCATGGAGTTTATATTCTCTGTCTTTGCTAGGGGTTCTCTTGAAGCATTTTGGAGGGTTTGTCATAAACTGTAAAGTATAATTTAATTTCTCTGGTTTTCAGCACTTGCTAAAAAAGCAATTTCCAGCAAACACTAAAAAAGCCAGAAGCCTTGAACATCTCTATCCTTAAATCTCTCATTTCAAATGAAACCTATCCAGAAACTTCTACAGTTATAAATAATTTTTTTTTAACTACATTTTTTTTTCTTTTTAAAAAATCTTGATGGATTGTCTTGTTTCCCTGTTTCTACTAGAGTGTTTATGAGGCAAATGCCACCCGGATACTGATTCATCTTATTCATTTAGATTCTGAATTTTGCATCCCTTTCCCTCTGAAAAACAATAGATGGCAACATGTTCTGCATCAGGATCACAGTCATTTTGTTTTTCTTATACGCAATATATTTTTGAGTTCCTAGGCACGAACCGTCCAACACTCAGACCATATGTTAACAAATTAGGTGGCAGGACAAAAAATGCCAGCGAAAGAAAGAGCTCTCAGTAAGATCCATTTTACATAAATCTATCTTTTATGACTGGGACAAAGCTCAGTAAGTTTAAGACAATTTGGTTGAAGTGATTACCTTTGTCCCACCTCTTTTTGAATTTTCTCCAGTTCTGTGGTTTGCTGAACCTTACAATTCAGACTGTGAATAAGCTTAACTAAGAATACATTAAAATGATACCAGGAGAAGGGTCAACTCATGTGCATGATCATTTTCATTTCTACCACTTAATTTTTCTTTCTCTAATAGAGTGAGACAAATGATTCTCTTAATTACATAAACTTGATTTCTGATATCCTATTTAATGATTTTTCCTGAGTACATAATCCTAAAGCTTGACTGTCGCTCAATGAAACATATTCTTAGAGGTGGTGCAGGGGATTCAAACTTAATGATCATATTGCGCTTTTTTTATAAAAACTAGGTTTCAGCATGTTTGGTTGTACTTGTTTTCTGGGAAGCTCCTGTCTGAGGCAAAAATTGCCTTTGTTT